CCCCCCCCCCCCCCCCAGTCGTTCTTTCTCTTCGGCACCCCCGCACAGGCCACTGACAGTCCCATCACCTAGCGCTACCCCGCCCTGGAGTCTCTCGGTGACAAGAGCAAGGGCACCGAGACCGAGAAGAGCACCCAGCACTCGGTGTACTACCACGCTCTTGGGACCGATCCCTCCACCGATCGGCTAATCGTCTCGGACCCGGAGCACCCGGACTACAACCACAACGCCCAGGTGTCCGATGATGGCAAGTACTGCATTATCTCCGTGTCCGAGAGCACCGATCCGGTGAACATGCTCTACGTCCTTCCCCTGGAGGGACAGTCCCTGCCGGCCGGCGGTACGTGCCTCTCCCGCGTCAGCCAGCTCCCCGGTGTCCATGCACCTCGCCCCATGCCCGGCTATGCTGCTGCCGGTCGCATTACTGCGCAGATTGCTGACTTGCTTCCGGATCACAGAGCTCCCTGAGCTCATCAAGCTTGCCACCAACTTCGACTCCAAGTACGAGTACATCACCAACGAGGGGCCGATCTTCTACTTCCTCACCAACAAGGACAATGCCCTCAATGGCAAGGTGGTCTCCATTGATATCCGTGATGGCACCGTACGTCCAATGGCGCGCCCGCATTTTCCTCGACATTTCCCCCACAGCCTCTCCCTCTCTCTCCCTCTCCCTCCCTCTCCCTCTCTCTCTCTCCTCGGCCCACGGGCAACTTACGCCTGCGCCCTTCCCCACTCCTATGCCTGCACCGATTCGCCACAGGTCGACAAGTCCAAGGATGTGGTCCCCGAGAACCCGACCGACCCGCTGGAGTCCTACACCTGCGTCGATGGCAACAAGCTGATTCTCGGCTACCTGCACAATGTGTCGAGCGCCCTGCGCATCCATGACCTGACCAGCGGCAAGCTCATCAAGGAGCTGGACATCCCCATCTGCTCGGTGGGCTCCCTCTTCGGCCGCAAGCAGATGAAGGAATTCTACTACCGCATGACGAGCTTCACCCTGGCCAGCCGCATCGTCAAGTACTCCTTCGAGAATGACAGCGAGGAGATTTTCCGCGATGCCAAGTGCGTGGCTGTCACCTCGGCCCGGCTTCTCTCCGTGCCTTTGGCCATCCCCCCCTGCGCTTCTCCCCCCCCCCCCCCTGGCGTCCTTCTTACTCACCGAATCCTCCCCCATCCCCTCCCCTGGCCGTCCCTCCGATCCATGCGGCGTAGGCTCACCAACTTCAACCCCGACCTCTTCAAGGTCGAGCAGAAGTTCTTCACCAGCAAGGACGGCACCCAGGTCCCCATGTTCCTGGTCCACCGCAAGGACCTGAAGCTGGATGGCACCAACCCGGTCTTCCTGTACGGCTACGGTGGCTTCAACATCCCCCTGGGCCCGAGCTTCAGTGTGTCGCGCATCATTTTCGCCGACAACTTCCGTGGCGTCTACGCCCTGGCCAACCTCCGCGGTGGCGGTGAGTTTGGCGAGAAGTGGCACAAGGCCGGCCAGCGTGAGAACAAGCAGAACGTCTTCGACGACTTCCACGCGGCGGCCGAGTTCCTCATCAAGGAGAAGTACACCAAGTGCGTCGGGCATTTTGGCCCTCCCCGTTCCTCTCTCCGTCTCTCTCTCTCTCTGCTGATGGGCGGCCCCCCTGGTTGGCTGGTCTTTACTCTCGGCCAAACTTACTCACTCTCCCGAAACCCCCTGCCCTGCCCTGCCCTGCCCCCCCCCCCCCACCGGACCCGCCCCAATGCCCGGGACCGGGCCGACGGGGAATTCCCCCGGGTCGCCACGACACGGCCTACCCCAGCAAGCCCCGCCAGTCTCCCCGGCACGGGGGCGCCCTGGCCAGC